TCTTACTGTCTTTTTCCGACCTTAGGGTTGAATGCTGTAGCTGGATCAGCTACAAACTGGCTTATTTTTTTTTCCTTGGCAAGTGTCCGTGCTATGGAGACGCCAGAATCCCAGTCAGACAGGGCACTCCTCATCTTGCCCAGTTCAGGGTTAAACAAGAAACATTAGTGGTCTTTGCGAATTCATGTGGCGGAAAGTTTTTGCCAGTTCACATATAATAATTGCTAAGTGTGTTTTAAAAGCAGAGTGTGAGCTGGTCCCCACCGTTGCTAACCTCCACCGTGTTCACAGGAGCCACCGCTTGCTCCGGGGTCAGGGCGCCCAGCTCCGTGGCCAGCGCCTCCATCGCCACCCTACACGGCCTTCCATCCCGCCAGCTGTGTGCTCGCCAAGCCCTGTTCACTGCGATGACCCTGCAACCCTGCCCATCAGCTGTAGCCCGTAATCAGAAATCAGGATTACTTCCATGACAGAAAACTATCATAAAAGTGGGAGTTAGAGGATTCAGAGTTCTTCCTTACCTTTCTAAACCAAGCATCTATTAGAGTTGGTTAGGTTCTTTGCCTGTTGTTTTTTTGCTGTTGTTGTTACCACTTACAGGAAACCTAAGCTCTATCAGACAGCACAAGCTTTCAGCTGTAAGTTTACTCCAAAATATTTGTTCCTACTGCATAACTAGCAAAAAAAAGGAAATAAAAAGAAAAAAAAAGGAGCATATCCAATGCAATTTTTTCTGATTTTACAGATTTTAAAATTCAGCTCTCTGTGCTTTTCAAGTATTCTTTAGTTTAACTTTGCCTTGGGGCTATTGTAAATCGTTCACAGAGGGATTAAAAAAAATCCGGGGTTACAAAAGACCAACATCCAGACATGACTGAGTGGCAGTCATTTTAGAAGTACCAGAAGTTCAAGAAGCATCACGTTTTCAGCATATTCTCAGCACATTTGACCCAGACACATTCCGTACAGCTGGTACTGCAAGACTGGCTGAATTGTGCAGAGTTATTCTGCATCATGCTGCTGAAAGGGAAGCAATATGGAGCCATCGGTCACCTTTAATTAAAAATGATAGAAGATAAGAAGCATATCCATCAGCTATATGTTGTCCAGTTCTCCTGCAACCAAAAAAACTTTTAATAAGTTAATAACTTTTAAAACTTTTAATCTGCACATTGCTGCCCCATCCCTGGAAACATTGAGGGCCAGGCTGGACGGGGCTCTGAGCTAACAGGTCTAGTGGAAGGTGTCCCTGGTGACTGCAGGGGGGGTGGACGGGATGACCTTTAAAGGTCCCTTCCAACCCAAAGCATTCTATGATTCTATGATTGTTGTGAATAAAACAGTTCAGTTGTTTTAAACTGACTGCCTTTCTTTGACACTCCGCGTTCTTGCAGCCAAAAAGACAGCAAACAACTACCTACTCTTCTGCCTTTGTTTCCACTCACCCCTCTGGAGATCTGGTGTCACCCTCCCCCCAACATCTTCCAGTCTGGCGACTCCTATCTATTTAATCATTCCCAAGAGCGGAGCTATGATCAAGTATACAAATGACCGTTGTGGTGGGCTGACCCTGGCTGGACACGGGGTGCCCACCAAGCCCTGGACAGGGGAAAGAAAATTTAACAAAAAGCTCGTGGGTTGAGATAAGGAGAGGGAGAGATCACTCACCAGTTACCATGATGGGCAAAACAGACTTGGGGAAATTAATTTATTACCAATCAAATCAGATAGGGTAATGAGAAATAAAACCAAATCTTAAAAACACCTTCCCCCCACCCCTTCCTTCTCCACAGGCTCCACTTCACTCCCAAATTCTCTCCCTTCTCCCCAACAGCAGTACAGGGGGACAGGGAATGGGGGCTGCGGTCAGTTCATCACACGCTGTCTCTGCTGCTCCTTCCTCCTCAGAGGAAGGACTCCTCACACTCTGCCCCTGCTCCAGCCTGGGGTCCCTCCCACAGGAGAGAGTCTTCCACAAACCGCTCCAGCGTGGGTCCTTCCCACAGGGTGCAGTCCTTCGGGAACCCTGGCCCAGCATGGGTCCTTCCCACAGGCTGCATTCTTTCCATGTGGGTCCCCCACGGGACCACAGGTCCTGCTAGGAGCCTGCTCCAGCATGGGCTCCCCAGGGGCTCACAGCCTCCTTCAGCCACCCACCTGCTTCAGCATGGGGTCCTCCAGAGGCTGCAGGGGGAGATCTGCTCCACCATGGACCTCCATGGGCTGCAGGTCCAGAACCTGCCTCATCCTGGTCTATTCCATGAGCTTCAGGGGAACCTGTGCTCTGGTGCCTGGGGCACCTCCTCCCCCCCTTCTGCACTGACCTTGTTTCTCTCTCCCATTCTGACTCCTCTCCTCTGGCTGCCACGTGGAGGGTTGTTGGCAGGTCCATCTTGCAGCCAGCTGGCATGGGCTCTGTCAGATATAGGGGAAGCTTCTAGAAGCTTCTCACAGAAGCCACGCCTGCAGCCCCCGCCCTATAAAACTCAACACAGCCTTTCTCCAAGGAGTCAGATTTAAGCAAGTAACCATTTTTAATGTTATTTGTGCAGCTGGAATAAAGTTATTCCTCTGTGCTCTTTCTGTAACTTCTCAGTAGCAGCCAAAGAAAAGAGTCACAACATATTATTAGTGCAGTCGTTTATCTTCAGCATTTAACAATCCATTACATTTAAGAAACAATTTGCATATATGACTTTTCACAAACAAAATTTAATGCATATAAAACCTCAAATATTTTTATTTCAACAAATAAAGCTGCTACAGAATGGCATCTTGTTTCACAAGACCAACTTTCGAGTAGAGGCAAGTGCATTTCAGCCACAGTAGCATAAACAGCATGCAACACAAAATTAAACAGATGCAATGTCCATGTTTGAAACACCAAATAAAAATTAAGATACATTTATCACTTGAAACATAGGCCATGCTATAAAATGCCCTTTGCAAGTCACCTTAACCACCAAAAAAACCCAATGAATCATCATTTTTTGATTATTTACTGGTAAAAACTAGTATGACAGTCTCCCCAGTACATTAGAGATCTACAGTTTGGTATTTATTTTTACAACAGAATGCATATAAAATATTCTGATAAAAAGTCTATAATCATGTTATAAATCATCTTCAAATGTTCATAAAATCCTCTTTTGGCTGAAGCTCATAATAGTTTGGGTATTTCTAAACATGTCGCACATCACTAAGATTTAATTCCCCTTAGTTGCTTTTGAAATGCATTCTTCTCTTGATGATTTTGAATCGCGTATCAAAATTTCATATTCATCTGAGCAACCTTATTTTACCTAGTGGCACAATTACTGTATTCTAAGCGTTCCTTTCTCTCAGGTTTTTCAGACTTCAGGGGACAGTTCCCTTTAAAATAACAACTCATCTTTATTTTGTGCAATGTTTTTACAAGGGATAGAGCAGAAGTGCACTAGAGAAATTTCTTTTCTAAAAAGGCCTTTTAAAGAAAGTTTTTCTTATCATGTACATGTGGCCAAAGTCCTTGGACACTGAGGAGCAACCGACTAGAAGTCACTTCCCTTACTAAAAAAAGTACACAGTTCTGTAAAAATGGACTACAAAACCACAGTGCTAATAATGCCCAGTTTTTTTAGACCTTTATGATAGACATAGTAATGTACATACACAATTTGTGTGACACATTAAGCTTTTACGGGTGATTTCTTTGTCTCTTCATAAAAAATAGATTGTAATATAAAATACTAAAAACAAGCTATATAACTTGTACCACATGGAGTTTTTATATATATGACATTTTAAAAGGACTATTATATATTAAGAGATCATTTTCAAGTAAATCATGATTCAATTTCATAGACAAGAACATGTCTATAATACATATTCCGGCAGTATCTATTCCCAGTAATCTGAAATAAGCAAAATAAAGCCTGTGTAAACTTATAGAAGTCTATTTCCACATGTCTCGGTTTCAAGCCTATCCATTTTCTGTATGCAGGATTCCTGATGCCTTAAATGGGAACTAAGTATTGAGGCCTATTCCAACAGAAGTTGAAGAAAACTGCAGTATTTCTCACACCCGTGAGAGTGAATCTAATAATTTTCAAGAATGACTGATCATTTAGGTTCTTGCTTTCAGACCCAAGAATACCTATTGAAAAGCTTACGCCCTCATCCAACAGAACATAAAAGGGGAAGTTGTTCTGTGGTACTCTAAGGTCACTCTTAAGTGCTTTTGGGAATAAAGGTCAGAAAGACGTAACTTAAAAATACTTAATACCCATTAAGATCAAAGATTAGAGTTAAGATCCATATAACCTCCACTGGATAAACAAAATGTTTATAAACATTATATACAGAAATTTACTCCACCCCCCCAACTTCATGTTTCTTAGGTGTTTATCATTAATCTCGATTACAGTTGAGAAGTTCTGAATGACTGCTACTTTAATTGGTGAATGCTTCTTCTGTAACTGCTGTACTACAAACAATTTATAATACTGGCATTCCTTAAGGTAACAGAGGCTAAGTCCTGGTTCCGGTAATTGCAGGAGTACCAGAACTTGGCCTAGTAAGCAGTTATGCTAGAATTTTTTTGCTTCAAAAATCTTTTCAGAAACATAATTGTTTTATTACATGGTGCTCTACAAAAATACAATGTAAGCATAGTACATTTTATCTACAATTGTTTTGTCATTTCATAATTGCATTGCTAATGTAAATATTTAAGTTAAAAAATAACATTGTTTTAATGGTGGCAAAACAGTAAGTACTTTGCCAGCTCTTTCCCACTGCAAATCATAATAAATGCTTGCCTTGAAAACTAATAATTCACTGGCTATTACAAGTGACACAATCCATTAAACAAATTTAGTCTATTTAAATACATATGTCCTTGAAATTAATTTATTTGCAGTAAATTTCAGAAACTATCTGCATACATTTTACAAGATGTCTCTCATTAATACTCACTGGAGTGGGCTGTTCTGAGTGGGGAAGTCAGATCACTGTCTTAGAAGGTAAAAAGAGGGGTACAGAAATACATTTTTTTAAGTGGTAGGTGTTTCTGTTTCTGCTTTCCCCATTGGTGCCTCAGGAAAAAGTAGTTTTCTAAGTATGTTTGCATAGAATGGTCCATACACTTTTTTATTAAAGTTTACAATGCTCACATACTGAGATCCAACAAACTCCATCTCTCTCTGAATCACAGAAAGGCCTCCTGGCACAGCAGGCATACACTTCTGAACACTCGGAACAGCAAGCAAGCTTCTCAAGAAGAACTGGATTCGTTTGTCTGAAATGGAATATACAGTACGCTCAGAACAGATGTAAACCCAAGAAGAAGCCATACTCGCTTCATAAGCGCCCTCTGCATCAGCACAGTAAAAAAAAAAAATCCAACAACATAGGTGGTAACTCTTTCTCACGCCTGAACTGCAGTGGGAAGCAATACTGAAAGCTTCTTAGAGTTGGCTCCTGCAAGGTGGATGCAGCATAAACCTGCTGCACCAAGTTACATTACCTTATATGGAGTAGACTCAAATTAAAAATAACAGTAGGTTTAAACCCAGAACTGACACAAGGGAAACTGAAGAGCACTCATGTTTCTAGGTTCTTCTCCAAAATACTAGCATGTCTAGGCTTGTCTGTACAGACACTTCTAGAATTATTTGTAGCTGCAACTAACCATGTTCTGCAGCATACCAAGAACACCATCTACAGGTAAACAACACTTCCTCACTCTTAGTTGACCCAGTATTTTACTACAGTAAGAAAGTCCTTTTTAAAAATAATCAGACAGCCGATTAAGCTTGCTGAGAGTAAGTTTATATACAGACACATACAATAAGACAATCGTGTATTATCTTACTAACCAATCAAGGAACTGATGGGATTATTCTCCTCGGCAATATGAGCTATTTGACCCACTAAATTACTCTGCATTTCTTCAGTAAGAGCAGGAAGACCTCTTTCAGTTAAAGATCCATTCACTTTGCTGCAAATGTGGACACCAATGGTATTCAGAGCCTCCTTCAAATCAAAAGTTCTGGATGAAAGAAACAGAAAAGCATTAAGGTTCGCAGTTTCTGTAGCAGAGGTTGTAAGGTGACCTCACTTGTCTCCCTTTTATTTTCAACCTGCTCCCTGCAATGACAGCATTTAGAAATGTTACCTTTTGCAGATTTATGTACATCTACAAATACAGGATAAATCTCCATGTGTAAGATAAAATAAGGACCTAATTGTAATCCAAATGGCAAAAGTAATTTCAAGTGTGCAGCAATGACACCAGTTCATTTTGCCCTTATGCTTAGGTGTTTTCCTGGGCCGCATGCATAGCATTTCATGAGAAAAAGCAGAGTGGGAAACTATTTTATGAGACACTCTTCCAGATCACATGCTTGCAATGCAAGGGACAGCAGAAATAGGCAGCCAAATAGTTTTACCTACAAGTTTGAAGCAACTGGCAAGACAATTTAGTGAATGTATTGCCACTCTCTCCAGTATTAGGAGCATATGAATGAACTTTAGTAGTAGGCTCCAAATTCTGTAGACTAACATCAAGATTAAGATTTTATTAAAATATAACTTCGAAATAATGTGCCTAACATGCAGTGGACTTCTATTATAAGGGGAATATAGATATACATTATTAAAATTTGGTGTCTTCTCATTATTAAAAAGCACTGCCTATGACATTTGAATTGTTTCCAAGGGTTTTCCAGTTCACCTGGTATTTCCCACTACAAAAAATAAGAAGAGTGATAAAAACAAGGCCTTACTTCTTGTTCATGCCTTCAAGAAGAGGAACAGAGATCCTTTTCAGTTGATCAGCAAAATCTGGCACATCTACAATTGCTGCACCCACCATATTGTTTGTTATGAGGCAAACACAAGCTATGATTTTTAACTGATTGAGCTTTTCTCTCAACTCCTGAAGACGAACTTCATCTGTTATTAGAGTCTAGAATTGAAACAATAGTACTAATTTAGGAATACAGAGGGAGAGAGGCAGGGAAAAGGACAAATGTAGGATGTAGCCATGAAGCATTAATATTTTTAATCACAAATATGCAGAGTCAGAAGAGACAGCAGCTGAAATACCCTGAATATGCAGTATTGCACAAAGTGGCATTACATGAGTACCAGAAGTAAGCCTGTGGTGGGAAGAAAGGTAATGCCTTCAGTGCAGAGGAAACTGAGGACATTGCATCATATTCCTTTTCATTGCTGACACAAGTCTGTGGCCAACAATTCAGCCCATGATGTAGAAGGCTCAGGGAATCCAGAGGACATTGCAGTGATCAACATTACAGACAGAATAATCTTCTGGATACAGCTGACCTTTGAAAAATGCTGTCATCTGTAACTGATGGACAGTGATGAATAACTGTGCATGACAACTACCAGTTCGACCACCAGAGCAGGTTCTGCAGCCGATACATAACCTGGTACAGGCAAAAAGCCAGTTGATCATACCAAGAACGTAAGTAATTCCCACAGCAAGATGTAGCTGGAGAGACCTGTTTTAGGTTAGAAAGAGTTCATCCTAACTAAATCCCTCCACTGAGAAGCACAAGCGCACTATCATTCAACTGTTTGGTAGTAATTCCATAGTATGAGAAACTAGATCCAGCAGAGAATACATGTGTATAGCTCTTATTCAAAACTGTTCAAAGAATAAGGTGGCTTCCCTTCTGTCCGCTGACCAAGAGCGCTAAGAGCATCCCCATGTATTTAGCAAATTCTCTGCCAGGCCATCCTAAGTATAGCTAAAGTGCTCATTGCAGATGCTAATTTTAGCCCTGACTGATGGCCAGTTTCAAATTGGCTTTACGGAAAGTTGCAGAGGTCAGTAATCAGGAGCTGGAGGGGAAAAACTGAATGCTGATTCTTGAAGCAATAGTTTATCTGCACTGAGAAGGGGTGACTATCTACTTTAAAGGGCTTGACGTTTTCACCGATTCTGTTCTACAACAAGAGCAATCCCACCAATTCCTGATGCTGTTCAGAAAACAGGATGCCATAAGTCAGTGCTCTCAGACTCAGAAAGCCGAGTGCTGGTCTGTACAAGGCCCAGCCTTTAACCATGGCCAAGACCGCTCTTAGGGTGGAGCTGGAGAGCTACAACTGGGTACAGGGAAAACAACCTGGACGTTGTTCTTTCCTAGTTGTTGACTTGGCCACCTCATATTTCAGAAACTAGACTAGCACACACTCTCCAAATTACAAATTTACGATTCAAAAATTTAAGAAGTGCTAGAGAATATTTCACCTGTTGCCATGAATAGCAGAATCATTATACTACACCAATGTTTTCATATCACTAGAAATCTGAAGACACTGAAATACACTTCTTACCTCTGGAATTGTTTTAGGATAATCCCATTGTAACAGTTTCAAGTAGCCGTTGTTTAGCACCAGTGTTGGACTAATAGTTGGTTTAGAACTACTGTCAGCACCAGGGGATGATGAAGATTCATCAGAAATAGATGACAATTCATCTTCTATTGATTCCTTTATCCATTCTGTTGTGAGATTCAGGGCACCTAAGCATTGCAAATCAGCACAGATTTACTTCATGCTTTCATCAAAATAAGCACTAGCTTGAGGAAAGAAGTTGTACACAAACAAGAGTACTGAACTTCCAAAGACTAAACAAACATAGTGGACAGTTGAGTCTCCACACATGCAAATTCTTTCCCTCACCTTTTTGCACTGATCACCTTAATATGCTAGCTAGCTTGTACAAACCCAACAACAAATTGTTAGACTTCAGCCAATATTTTTGGGTAAAAAAGCCTCCAAGTCTGAGTTCCCAAAGCATTTTTTTTTTTTCCCCCCCTTTTTTTCAGAGAGGCCACGGGACTGGAAAGTAGAGGTGAAGGGAGATCAGCCTTATTAACAGCAAATGAAATGCTTTTAAAGAGTTCTTTCTCAGGCTGCATGTACAAACACCGCAGGCTGTATCAGCGGCTCAGGGTTTCCATTTTAGAAGACCCTGTTTCAGATGTTAATAAGTTTATGTTTTCTTCTTGGAAGACATATTTTCCTGAACACTGTTTAGCGGTGTTACACAAAACCTGTAATAGTGGATCAAGTTGACTTCGTGTCACCTAAAAAGTTTTCCTCAGAGTCTGCCTTTTGTTATTAAAAAAATGTTCCTGTCCCTCCCAGCTTTCAGGCACACTAACTGGTTTTACATGTTTACTTCAGAGTAACAAAGACTTGCTGCATACAAAAGAAATAAAGTCTCATCTTTCAGTGTGTAGGGCTTCTGCCTCCAGACAGTAAGAGCCATTGTTTGTTTTTCAGATACTAATCAATTTAGCAAATACAAATTTTTCTGTGCCCCAGATTACAGACAAACATACTTACAGCGAGTTAAGCTATTGCCCATTGCTAGCTTGCTTGTCAAAGAATTTTTGCATTAGTTCAGTCCAGGCAAGAAATTGAAATTTTCCCCCAAATTAACTGCAATTGATAGATTCTATGGCATGTCTTTAAATAGTCCTCTTTTTAAGTTAAATATAGCATGATACCTACTTGGTGTTTCTTCAAGAATTTCCTGGAATTTTGTTCTTTCGTAGTCCACCAAGTTACGCTGAAGGTATGGCCTAACGTTTTGAATTATGTAATTAGCCATATCCACTTTCATCAGGTCCAAAACACGGAATATTTGTCTGAAAGCAGGAGTTTAAAATTTGACAATTACAATAGTGTATTTTAAACAGCACATGCGAGGTACACCTAAATTAGCACTTTAATTTCAATTCTGGGAGAAATAAACGCCTTCACTGGTATCTCAGTGTAACAGATATGTTACCTATCTTCCAGGATACCTGAAGGAGTATTCTGCATAAGGCTTGGTGTCAGTTACAGAGAACAGGACAAACATGTAGCATCACTAAATGGTACAATCCCGTAACAGAAAGAGAATGGTTTTCAAGAACTGTATCAGGTGGTACATTTTAACCTAAATGAACAGATTTTAACTTTTTAGTCACTCCAACTGCACAAAGAGAAACAATCCTTCTGACCGAGTTTCTTTGGTCCCTGTATATGATCCAAGTAGCAATAAAATAGTTGAACAACAACTACCATTTACTCTTAATATTTCAGTGTACCCAAGGAGCAGTAAACTGGTTTCCGCTCTTTTATGTAAGTGTTGTACTCAAGTTCAAGTAATAAGATCTTTACTAAAGATTTTAAATCCAAAGTTTGGCCTCCTAGAAGAAGCATACAATACACAGTTCAAGAAGGAACAAGACAAATGTGGTGCTTATATTTTGTAAGGATGAACAAGATTGAAAAAGCAGTCTCCGAAACACAGATGATTGCAAGAGTGCTCTTTTGTTGTTCAGTGACTTGGATATTCAGAGCTGGTCGTGTCTCATCTAGACATTCTACCCATTTCATTAAAAAGTAAGATAAACATAATATTCTGGTCACAGAGTGTCACAGCTCCCTTTAATACTTCTGTATAAAAATAAGTTTTCTTATAGTTTGAAAACAGGTGTTAGATAAAGCAACACAATTTAAGACTTTGCCCCCCTCTTCCACTGCCCAGTACTCTTTCAGAGAAGAGGTTTTCCTCTAAAAGAACACCCCAATACCAACCTCAGTAATTCTACGATATTGTCAGTTGCTTTTAACTGTTTTATATCGTTGTCTCTTATTGGAGCACATAACTTTCCCATAGTGTTGATGATATAGTTAGCTAGCCCATGAATATCAACGGCATTATGTTCTGCCTGCTGTCTTATAAGATCTGTATCTAGAACTTCACAAATTTGATTATGAATCCTGTTTGCTCCAGGAGTCAGGAAGGAAAGAAGAATCTAAAGCAGAGGGAAGAAAAAAAAAAAGGGAAAAGCTTATCAATAAAAACCAAACCACTGAAGTAAGACTTAATATTGAAGTGTATTTAGCTGACCAGCTATAACATAACACCTTAAGAGCAAACATTATCTAAAGTAGTAGAAAAACAGGACTGTTAAGAGGATTGCAGTACAGTTCTGCAAAAATGCTCAAAGCCAGTAAACCAGAAAGCATGTCAACATGTCAACAACGAGACTTTCAAAAACTGGGAGACTGCCCTGTAAAACAAACATTTCCGAACCTAAAATTTTAAAAGACTTAGTATTGTGCCAGGACTAAAGGTTTGCATGCTCCGTTGTGTGATGATCATAAACAATAAAGTCTATTTGGGCAGGTGCAGTCATGTTTATACTCCTGTCCATGCTGTAAGCTCACAGTATGTTGCTGGAAAAAGGCTAGTAGAGATGTGAAGCGCCGAGGAAAGAACTGACTTGCAGCTAACCATCATGCAGTGAAAGCTGAGCAGACATGCCACTTTGTGTTCATGGCCACATACATGGTTAATATACTATAGAGACCTATTTGCAGTTCTTAGTAATCATGGTTTCATCTTAAAGAACTGCAAGGTGTTGGCTTGACCAAGTTCACAGGCCCTTCAGTGATGAGACTCTCAGACCTAAGCTGACCAAACAATACTGGGGTGCAGGGGAGAAGTAACATTACCTCCTTAATTTCCTCAAAGAGCTTGATAGCATGTTCATATTCTGGAGGATCTTCATTCAGTTCTGATTCCAAATGATCCCAAAAGGCCTCGTGTACAATTTGTTTCACTGTGCCTGCAAAGCTGTGGAGTAAGTCAATTAGATAAAGACTCCCAACCAGCTTTCATCCTTGTTAAAAGCGGTTTAGGTTAGCCTGATCACTTGTTGGGAAACTTACAGCCCCTCATCAGCTATTGTGCCCTGCAAACCGTATCTTTTTTGGGTTGTGGATCATCAGCTCCTGAAACATGGTCTAGACTGACAAGTTCTTCCAAGAACACCTGTATTTTAGAAAGTAGCGCTGGCAATTCAGATGCCGGTAAAGAGATATTATGTTCCCTTTTTCATTATTGAATTTGTATTCACTGTCCTAACCTGGTAGGTTATGTACAAGGCTTTCCTAAAAAACTATTATAGAATCACAGAATGTTAGGGGTTGGAAGGGACCTCTATGGGTCATCTAGCCCAACCCTCCTGCCGAAGTAGGGTCACCTACAGCAGGCTGCACAGGACCTTGTCCAGGCAGGTCTTGAATATC